CCCTCGGGGCTGCTCTCCTCCGCTTTACCACGTCCAGCCTCGCTGAGGGGCCCGCCCCCGCGAAGTGCGTCCGCAAACCCGGGAACCGCAGGGACGCTGCAGCCGAGCCGGGTGTGCGAGGGTCCGGCGCTCTGCGACGCCTGCCTCCGGCCTCCCTTACCGGAGGCGCTGGTGAAGGTGCCGGAAGGAGAAATGGGGAAAGCCCAATGCAAATGACCCGCCGTCAGTCGCCAGCCCTCGGGAAATCATCTTCATTTCCAAGCGGGAAGAGAACCCGAAGCTGCGTGGCCTGCCTTACCTGTGATAACTGGAATCCCGGCTATCTGTTCCGACATCCCCGCCCTTGTCCGCTTGGGGACGCCCTCTCTGCCACAGGGAACGATTCCCCGCGTCCCGTCTTCGTTGCTTGACCCGCAGCGGCTGTTTGTGTTTGCGGCCCTTCCTCCTCTCCTTCTAAAGCTTCCATTGGGGTCCCTGATGCCGCCCACTGGTCTGCTTCCTCTTCCCTGCGCTTAGGTTCTTTCTGTCCTGCAAAGGCGGTGCTCCTGGTCGAGAGCTGGTCTCTCTCTCCCAGTGCAGTGGCATCCTTGGAACCATAGAGGATCCCGCTCACCAAGTGGCTGACATCATGCCCTTCACAAAACCGTGGACTCCTTGAAAACAAGTCCATTGCTCTTGCTGTGTGAAGAGCTCCTAGAAGACCCTTCTCTACGGGTCAAGACCGGTCCTATTCATGCTCTCTCCAGCAGGACCCCAGCCTCCTCATGGTGGCTAACCACTCCCAACCCAATGGGACCATGCCTTCCAGTTTCTCACCTAAAGCAGCTTGACCTAGTATGTCCCATAACCAACCCTTCCTGATAGCTGCCCACATTTGGGTGTTGGGAATGGGAATCTGGGGCTGTTTCCCCTTCTCTGGAGTTTTCCGGGGATTTCCAAAGCTCCTGGCATAGTGGTGGCCATGGTTGTGCAGTTAATGGAAGGAAGCCTTTTGTCTTGATTTCATTCTTGTCTTCCTCAATTGCGTATACACATAGGATTCTAACACTGGTGGGCCAACCTGTGGCCTGGTGGTTACAGGAGCTGAATCCCATGTGGCTAACTGCACAGTTGAGTCCAGGACTTGGATCTCAAAAAAGCAGGGTGCGTGTGAATGCAAGCCCAAAATCTGACAAGGAGAGAGAGATGAGGGGAAGGAATTGATCTGTGACTATTTCCCATGAGGATTGCTTTCTCCCTCTGTGTCTCTCTCTGGCAAATGCATATGCCTTCTGGCAATTTTTTTTTTCTGTAGAGTTTTTTACTATAGGGAACGTGCACTTGCCCCAAATACAGAGAGATAGAGAAACAGAAAATGAGAAATCACCCCCCAGGGGGGATGGCCACAACACAATCCCTACTCCATTCTCCTCTCGAGATCTTGGGCACGCACGCACACACGCCCAGTGTGAGTTTAAGCCATCCAGTCCGGGACTCGAACCACGGTTGACTACATGGGAGTCCAGTGACACAGCCATTACACCAACTGTTGGTTCCTGCCTTCTGGCAAATGAAAAAGAAAAAAAAAATCTAATGCTGGGGAATATTACCTTGTGGTAAGATCACATTACTACAGGTTATCATTACATCCATTATATACACCATTCTGAAAATTGTTTATCGAGCTCAAATGCCCAAACCCTGTACCTAAGCACTTCCCACATTACCTCATATACTCACAACGAACCAAAGGAGTAGATACTGTTTTTATCCCCATTTTACAGAGGCACAAGCAGGCTCAGACCAGTGAACTAACTTGTTGGATTGCTTGACTTTTAAAGTGACATATTGAGGGCTGGCGCCTAGACAGGCCAACTCCATTGTATTAGTGTCCAGACTGAGCTTTATGGCACTTGCAGTTCTCATTTCATCTGGAAATTCTTTTTTTTAAAATAATTATTTTATTTAACTTTATTTATTAATTTATTTTAAATTTGACCTGAGAGTGACAGAGTGAAAGAGAGAGGGAAAGTGAGAAAGGAAACCACCAGGTCCAAGGCTTGAACTGCGGTTGGCCATGTGGAAGTTCAGTCCCTTAACCACCATGCCACTGCCGGCCACTGAACTTTTCTTTTACGATACCCGTCTGGTTGTGCAGTTAATGGAAGGAAGCCTTTTGTCTTGATTTCATTCTTGTCTTCCTCAATTGCGTATACACATAGGATTCTAACACTGGTGGGCCAACCTGTGGCCTGGTGGTTACAGGAGCTGAATCCCATGTGGCTAACTGCACAGTTGAGTCCAGGACTTGGATCTCAAAAAAGCAGGGTGCGTGTGAATGCAAGCCCAAAATCTGACAAGGAGAGAGAGATGAGGGGAAGGAATTGATCTGTGACTATTTCCCATGAGGATTGCTTTCTCCCTCTGTGTCTCTCTCTGGCAAATGCATATGCCTTCTGGCAATTTTTTTTTTCTGTAGAGTTTTTTACTATAGGGAACGTGCACTTGCCCCAAATACAGAGAGATAGAGAAACAGAAAATGAGAAATCACCCCCCAGGGGGGATGGCCACAACACAATCCCTACTCCATTCTCCTCTCGAGATCTTGGGCACGCACGCACACACGCCCAGTGTGAGTTTAAGCCATCCAGTCCGGGACTCGAACCACGGTTGACTACATGGGAGTCCAGTGACACAGCCATTACACCAACTGTTGGTTCCTGCCTTCTGGCAAATGAAAAAGAAAAAAAAAATCTAATGCTGGGGAATATTACCTTGTGGTAAGATCACATTACTACAGGTTATCATTACATCCATTATATACACCATTCTGAAAATTGTTTATCGAGCTCAAATGCCCAAACCCTGTACCTAAGCACTTCCCACATTACCTCATATACTCACAACGAACCAAAGGAGTAGATACTGTTTTTATCCCCATTTTACAGAGGCACAAGCAGGCTCAGACCAGTGAACTAACTTGTTGGATTGCTTGACTTTTAAAGTGACATATTGAGGGCTGGCGCCTAGACAGGCCAACTCCATTGTATTAGTGTCCAGACTGAGCTTTATGGCACTTGCAGTTCTCATTTCATCTGGAAATTCTTTTTTTTAAAATAATTATTTTATTTAACTTTATTTATTAATTTATTTTAAATTTGACCTGAGAGTGACAGAGTGAAAGAGAGAGGGAAAGTGAGAAAGGAAACCACCAGGTCCTGGACTTGAACCGTGGTCGGCCATGTGAGAGTCCAGCACCTTTAACCACCACGTCACCTGCCGGTCCCCATCTGGAACTTCTACCCTCACCTCAGATTCAATGTGGCTGAAACATAGCTAATTTTCAAGTGGTGAGTTATCGCTATTTGTTGAAACGCCTACAGTTCCTTCCAGGTGCTTGACATACAGATTGGTAATGCTCCCGACAACTGGGAGAACGGTTTCCACTTTACAGAGAGGGTCACTAAGTCGGTCAAGGTCTCCATGAAGAGTGGGTGAAAAGGTCATCTTGGGGTTGAGTTTGTGGGCTTCTGTCTCAGACCAATGGGCAGCTCTTGCATCTTCCATTTACTATTGGTATGGACTTTAGCAGGGTATTAGCTTCTCTGAGCCCTAGTCTCCTTATATATGAAATGAGACTTCGCCGGGTTGTTCCAAGGACTAAATGACTCAGTATAGATAAAGCATTTCACACTGAATGGACAGTAAATGTTGCCTGAAACAAGTGTCAGAGTCAGGATTTTTATCCCCTGTTTTTCTGAGATCAAAACTGTATTTTCAGGGACCAGCAGATGGTGTAACGGTTATATCACCGGACTCTCACATGGGTGACTGTGGTTCAAGTCCCGGACCAGGCAACTGCAAACTCACACTGGGCACATGTGCATGCGTGCCTAAAATCCTGAGAAAAAAATGGAGGAGACCGGATTGCAGCATGGCCATCCGCCCCTTGGCGGGGGGTGGAGGTGGGGGGAGGTGATTTCTCACTTTCTGTCTCTCCGGTGAGCACCCATGCCCTATAGCAAAAATCTGTCTTAAAAAAAAAAA